CAAAATTTTTTTCGGGTAAGTTCATAACTCGACCACCTGAGAACCTAGAGGACTGATTTTTAAGGGGACGTTCCCTGCCCACGTAGGAGCTCTAGCTCCGACACCGGGCAAGCCTGGTACCCGCGTGCGGACGCGCTAAAGTTTTTTACGGGCAAGCTGCTTGGGAACCAGAAGTTGCTGGAAAGGCGAAATTTTAACACAAACCATGCCTTGCGAATGCAGCATCGACGAAATGTCGGGGAACTGCGTGTGCTGGAGCGCATTAAGGCAACAGCGGAGAAGTTTGTCTTACTTGTCGGGCGCTAAAGCATACGTATTAGATTCAATTTGTAAAAATCGAAGTAATTGACTGTATAAGATGTTGTAATGAATGTTAGTATGAGTGTTACTGTCCATATATGTATATTTAACAATTGGAAAATTGTAATTATTGAGCTTATTATATAGAGTTGTTCGTATTTCTCCTTGACTTATGACTTGAAATGTTATGTATAGGATGTTAACCATATTACCATGACCTGTTATTTCTAATTGCAAATCCATACCATAAATGGAAATTGTAACGTTAGTAAAGTTTTCTATGTATGTGAAAAGTACATCGTCGGCATATCGACACATTAATAGTGGAGGATTAGTATGTGTAATGAAATATTTATATTCTAAAATAGCTAAAGTTTGTTCAGCGATATCCAGACTCGCATTGCCTCCTATGGGTACTCCTGTAACTTGCTGAAATGTTTTACCAGGCACGTAACGTAAGATTCACTAACAACGTTGTGAACATATCTCTCCGACAGTGTAAGTTTTATGTTGTAGTCTAGACGTAAAGTCCCGGTGGCACTGTTTGTGGGAAAGCGAAGGGGAAGGATGGCGAAAAGGAACGATGATGGAGCAGAGGGAGTACATAAAAATCGCGTAGAAATCACAGGGATTCATTTACGGCGAGTACGCACCCGGAGGGGTCGTGCGAGAAGTGCACGGGCGCGTACTCAAGGCGCAGTGGGGGATTGTGGACAATTCGTGTAGCACGTGCACCAGTTCGTTTTCCCGACAACTGAGAAGATTAATTGGGGCTGCAATCGCACTACACCAACACGGATGCACCAACGGCCGCCGCTGCCGCCACCCACACAACGAGCATCATCGCCGCCGAAAACAGCTGCCCCACCATTGCCACTGCCGAAACCACTGCTCCTCGTCGACGTTTCAAAAGCCGTACCGCCTCGAACGTTAGTGCTCGGGCCTTTGCCGCTCTCGCCCACTGTCCAAACGACAACGTTCGCGCTCCAGGCGTTCGCGGCGACGTGATCATCGTGGTCAATTTATGAACATGTTTGTACGGAGTCCCAACCCTCCCACCGCCTTGCCATTTGATAATGAAAACTAATATTGATAAAGAATAGAAATGCAGAATTTTCGAAAATTCGAAACTCGAGTAATTACGGTGAAGAAGAGTGATAATTTTTATGCGTTTTTGCATATGTGTAAATTACAACTTGGTAGAAAGCGTACCGGCTGCCGGTACGAGGATGCATTTTTTGCACAGTTCCCTGCAAGTTTTTTTTCGCCAGTGGCACGTTCTTCCCGGTAGATGCTTCTAGCTAAAAGAATTGGGA